GCTTTCCCGACTTTTGAGGTGTCTTTTAATGACCTTTTAAGTTCTTCAAAATTCAAGGTTTTCCCTCTCTTGAAAAAGGTCAGGTAATTTTATCTCATTCTTAGGCCGATACATAGAGAAAAAAAAGGACATAGATAATATATTATTTTTCCGGCAATAATGAGTAGTTGAATACGTAATCTTTCCTCCATGGATCGATAGGCCTGAAGAACGCACTTAAATTATTACGACTCGTCGAACCAGGTAGATTAGCATGCCTTTTGTAAGCCAGGACCCATTAGTATTTTGTTACGTTTCTTTACGGGGGGGGGGGGTTCGTCCGAACCCCTTGAACCCCCTGGATCCGCCACTGATGGAGGAATTAGTCCATACTATAACCTATGGAGGATCATCCATGCTAGAACCAAGTCCTCTTAAAATATCCGATTGGAACGACTAAAATTATACTCAGCACTTTTGGCGCGCCAACGCCAATATTTGAGACACGCTCCGGAGTTATTTACTTGGGCAAGGCACTTTTACATTTCTTCACATGGGAGTATCTGGTGGAAGATGAATGGAATTTGAAGTGCTGCGCATGCATAACAAGGAATACTCCCCCCAGACGAGAGCAAAAAGAACTCTTCACAATCAATGCCAGTTTAAGTATTGAAGTGGTTCAAGGGCATTAGGCCTACAGTGAATTGTAATTTTAATATTTTAATTTAATTTTTAATTACCCAAAACATTTTTCTATACTGTAGATTTATTGTATATAATGTATTTTACTTGATATTTATAATTTGTATGTATTTTTTAACTTAATAACTGTATTTTCATATTGACGTATTTTTTATATTGTAATTTTACGAGCAATGACTTTTCTCAATGTAATTTTCTTTTGGACAAATAAATTTGAATTGAATTAAATTGAATAATCAATCCCCCCAAAAATGCGTACATTAGGCCTAAACTTCAGGTATGATGGAATAACAAATTAAGAGACAGCAACAGCGTTTTATAACTGAATTTCATAATTGTTATTTTTATCTAAATATTATATCGTAATATTTTATATAAATTTGATGTACACATATATTTGTATTCTATTTTGTTGGATGAGGGTTGGAGTGCCACATAGAGTGTGATTAATTTTTCTATTGACAATCCGCGTCAGTTCATGAAATTTTTTTAAATTGTTTTGGCCGTGTTTTCTTTCTTTTTTTTTTGAGTATTGTATTTTATATGAAGTGACGAAATAAATGAAATGAAATCCATCGTCGACTTAGGATATCTTGACCCTATATTTTTTAAGAAAATATATATATGAATTGTCATTGTCTAAATGTTAATACAATAAAATATTTTTTTAAAGGATATTTTAAATTTATTTATTCTTACCAACATTATTACATTCATTATAAAAGATTTTAATAATGTGTCTTAACTGATTTACTGATATTAGTACAGTATTTCCATAAACATAGAAGTGTGGTACACTGTAAAATGTAAATTCTACCAGTAACCACTACTATGCTATAGGGAGAACCAACTACATATTGTTTAATGAGTTTATACAATATATTTAAATGACCAGTTTATATAAAATTCTTAAATTTAATATAAATAATGCGCGCCTTTTACTTATAAACAAAAAATTAATACAAAACTTCTAAACAGAACACTTTGTCACGTAGATGCTGACATAGATTCCTACTGTCCCTCTTTCGGTGGGATTGTCTCGCTTTTCGGAGACGTATCCCGCTGTCCGTCCGTTTTTCAACTTCTATAAATAAAAGATAATCACGATAATACCAAGACTAAACTCCCAGAGGATACTCTGAAATCTATGGCCCTCACAGACTACGAGCCGTGTTAATATAGTGATTAATAGCGATACGAAAGAGATGTTTATCAGTTTAAATAATTTGTGTTTGTTTATTTTATGTTTTTTTTCTTATTGTTCTGTATTTTTCGGTTTATTTTTGAGCAACTGAATCTTTTTTATACATTTTCTGTCCTTCTTGTAACTCTGTTCTTTGTGAATGTCCCTTTTGTCTCCCTTGCATATCTTGTAATATGGATGAGTTTAGGGCTTCCATCTGTTCCTTTATCGATTCGTTTTTTTCTTGATGCGATGTTTTTCTTAATTTTTCAATTCTGTATGTTCTGTATGTTGCATTTGAATAAAGTGATAAAATATATAATATTATATATATATATTATTTTGTGAAGGTTTTGATTGCTGCATTTCTGCTTTCATTTTTACTTTTTTTTATTAAGTTTTTCCAATTATCCAAACCTCCGATAAAGGCCACGAAAACTCCAGTCCCAAAAATGGTCGTCAATTTTAATATATATATATCTGTCTCTTATACACATCTAGATGTGTATAAGAGACAGACACATAATTACCATCACAATAACACATCCCTTTCTACAGTGAAATTAGGGGTGTTTATATTAAGTGTATACATATTCATTTTACACCAAAGAAAATATACAAATCCCCCGAATAAACGCCTCTCTCAAATAAATCTCGCTCAAAAGCCCTTCACAATATTAAAGACCCCGGGGCATTTATTCAATACGGTATTTTAATTAGTAACTGTTTTTTTTTTTTCTTGCTACACCAGACACTGCAGTTTCTTTGAAGAATTTGATGGCATCACTTTGATGCGCTTAAAGAATCTTCGAAGAGAAGCACCAGAGTTTTTTTACAATGTTCTGCGCCATGAGTTGGGTTTTGTCAAGATTGTGGACCTACTGAAATTCACTGATTCACTGGAGGAGCTGTGATAATATCTTCTGGTATCTTTTTTATTCTGCTGAATTAAATGTTTGCAATAGAACTTTTTTATGCATTAGCAAAGGAATTGAATAATAATATAAAAAAATAAGTGTGAAAACTTTTTATTTCCATCGTAGGGGTCATTCTAAATTTGTTTAAAATTTTCGTTTTTTTTCCACTCCAGTAGTTAGTGAATTAATGTACCATTTACAAAATGGTAAAGTATGTACAGTATGAGCTCTGTGATAAGTTTCTTTTTAATTTCAAATTATTTGCATACAGTAGCTAAAGACTGCATCTGCATTTGCTACTCAAAGAGTGCAAGTAGTGAATCTTTATTCTATACTTTTATCAATCGTGTGTTAT